CTAGAGCACTTGATAAATAAAATATTTTTATATTTATTTATTCTCCTTGTACGTTGTCTTTCGAGTTTATCTGTATATTTTTAAAGAACTTGCCCTAGAACAATAAATGTTTTATTTGTTTTTTTATTTATCTTTCTGACTTTTTTTGTCTTCATCCACTTAAGCATAGAACATTCCAATAATATTGTAGCAACATTGTAATGTTTAATATTACAGAAACGTTCCATGCTATCTGGATATTTATCTGTCTATTTATTTTTCTCTCTATTTTTCTTTCTCGTTGGAAACAATCAACAAAACTCGTGAATCTTTAACGTCTTCTTGGCAAAAGGGAAGCGTTGAATAAGGAAGTTTGGAGGAAGCACTGATGGTGTCCAGAAAGACGTCTCGGGAGGGACACGAACGCGAATTCACGATCGCGCAATTCCGGGATCCGAAGAGCCTGGAGCCAAGATCTGGATTTATCGGGGGTGACGCGACTCGTATCCCTTCCGGTGCGTAACATTTGCTGTATTTTGCAGCGTTTATTCTTTTCAACACGATATTTGTCCCGAAGATGTTCAGGTCTCGGCATAACGGTGTCTTTTGCTAACGCAACCGCAGGTGACAACCGAGATTTTATCGGGACTTTGCGAGGCGAGCTCGAGCGGCTCTCTCTCATCTCTTCAGCATTCGAAATTGGAATATAGAACGCTGCTAAAAATTAATTTATCATTTACAGAAAAAAAGCCAGTATCAAGAAAATTATATATATTTATAATATATATTTATTCGTAAAATTAAATACATTTTTAAATCGAGTATTTAAAGAGATACAAATTGAAAAAGAAACAAGTTTAAAAATCGTTGAGGAACGTTTATTAGAAGAGATTCAGTCCAGTCGAATAATCTGATTTCCACTTCGTCCCGTTTAATTTACTTTTGCTTCAGTTGCTATAATAAATGCGACGTAAAATTCTCAAATTTAGTTAACGTTAATCTTATTGTCTATCAATGAATTTTGCAGAAGAGAAAAGAGAAAGATCGGTCGAGCCAATCTTCAGCCTCGGCCATTTACAAGGAAAAGCTCACGCGGAAAAAGCTCATTAACGCGGATAAAGTTGGGACCTGGTTTGTCTTGTCCGTCATCGTTTCATTTCGAAAGCGTAGTTTCGCGGCTAATCGCAATGCGAAACGGGACCAAAACAGACACAATTTTCACAACGTTCTCATACTGTCCCTCTTTCTCTTTCCTCCTCTTTTTCCTCTTTTCCTTCTACTCCTTCTTTTCTCACAGTTGAACAAATTTTTCATCCAGATAAAAGAGGTCAGTAAGAAATGAAAAATTTAAAAAAGTAAATCAATTATAAGAATACTTATTCTAACCTTCAAACCCTCGCTAATTTATTCAAATATATGAAAATACTTTCCTTATTTAACATTGTCAGATATTTTATTTGATAAACGAAGAATTTATATAATATGATTGCATTACTCTTTCTTATTTTATTATTTTAATAATAATTTATTAAGAATTAAAGTAATTTATTTGCGAACAATCTTTTAATGGCTGTTACATGTATTAATTTACATCGTAAAAATTTGTAGAAATTCTTCTTTCTTCCTGAAAAACAAATTTTGCCATCTCGACACACTTTTTTCTATTAATCTTATATCTTTTGCTCGTCTTGATTTCGCTGAAAGATATCGAATCATTTATTCGAAAATATAAATAAAAGAACTTGAAAGCTTTCTTATGTAATTGATATCTCGGGTTAAATCGAAAAATATTTGACAAATAACTTTTTTTTAATTTTTTGATTTTTTAAAAGAAAACCATCTATTTTCACAAAATGTATTTTTAGTGTTCGAAGAGAATCTTGTTCGTGCAAATACAATGATCGCTTATTCAACCTCTCTATCTGAATGAAGTTTTCAATC